AAGAAGAACGATCCCCTTACATGGACATCTGAAATCAGGCTACCTGATGGCACTCCATCAAAATAAACGTTCTAGTACAGCGAACATGTTATTTTTGGGGAGCATGTTTGATTCTGAATTCGGACATATAACGTTTATGTGAAAACTACTTCTACTACGCATTCATTGTTGTTCCGAACTCACTTCACTCGCATTTAAGAGGGAGGCTCGCTCGGTTGCTGGCACATGCGCAGATCAAATACACCGCTGTAACGCCGATGAAGGTGTTTACGTGTCCTAATAATTCGAAAGATTGCTCAGAAAACCCGGTGTTTTAATCGGCGTATGCTTACTTCGATTTCGACTTTACGCCGGTTAAAATAAACAGAGTAAATTGCTTACATGACTATTGCATAACCTGCCTACTGCCATGATCCGTTTAATATCGAATTATTAGTGTGCATGTGAAGGTAGTGTTGTGTTTCCACCAAATGGACTTGTTGTGGATAAAAATCAGTGCGTGATGACCTAGTGCACACAAAATTGACTTTTTCGCTTAAGTTTTCATGTAGCCTACCGAAGAAAAATCTAATGTTCAATGTGTTTCCATCGCATTTTCAATTCTACCGATAGTTTTGTCACAAACTGTTGCATTACATAGCAAATGTGCCTAATCTGGTTGATGCGGGTAGGCTCTGCCGGTAGGTTAGTCCACATGATTAGATTATTACGGATAAGAGCGATAATATTTATTTTTCAAACGGCGGTCAAGCGTCGATCATCATGTTACCAGAATAAGACCCTCGACATTTATTGGCTAGGAGCATCAAACTCATTCCGTGAACTTTCACCACCCTGTGAAGTTAATCATAAATTATTTTATCTGTAGTTTAATAAACTGTATGGTTTCGCGAGTCGTAGTGGGTGGACCACACACCATTCATCGCGTGACTCCAAGTTTACTTCGATATGATGGTTATTATATCAATATTTGCATATAAAGGCGTTTCCACCGCCATTTCTCGCATAATTAATTTTACCGACACAAAAATATCCCACCATGTCGAACGAATAAATTATCTGTCGGCATTTATAAAAGTGTACTGAAACTTCCTGTTTCCATCACAGCTGTTCGGATTTTTAAAAAGGACTTTACTTGCATAAAAACTGTGGTTGAGAACGAGGTTAATGTGCGTGAGTGTGTCTCTCTGTTTTCTTCCTACCTCGACTGCACCACCGCAGATTATCTGTCATTTTCACAGACGCAGAACCAGATGTTTTAGCAAATAAATCGGTTAATTTTACAAATTTAGCAGCGTAGGCTTCAAGTGCACTTTTTCGGTCTCTACTTTTTCGGCACCACCATTACGTTTTTCTGTTTTGACTGACAGAGTCAGAGCGGGTCTTACTCTCTTTGATGATGCGCGTTTGACTTTGAATGTGAATTTGCGCCACCTCAGCTCAGCCAACCAGAAAACCGGGCCGGCCCATCGTGGTAGGGGGGCCGGACATCGCCCACTGGTCAGTGAAAATGCAAAAAAATATAAATGCAACATGTAAAGTGTTGGTCCCATTTTTCAAGAGCTGAAATAAAAGATCCCAGAAATGTTCCATACACACAAAAATCTTATTTCTAAGATAATCCATCCACCTGACAGGTGTGGCATATCAACAAGCTGATTAAACAGCATGATCATTACACAGGTGCACCTTGTGCTGGGGACAATAAAAGGCCACTCTAAAATGTGCAGTTTTGTCACAACACAATGCCACAGATATATGGAGCCAGATAGTGGCCAAAAAATTGAACATACGTATCGTTAGGATCGTAAGAAAATCCATGCGTGAAACATGAAACATAACCGTTAAATTGGACCTGTAAATGTACAAACCCTACGCTACGACTATGAACGAACATTTACACGTTCAATTCTTACTTCACATCACCCTTTACTCGGTTACAGATATTTTTTATACGTACAAACCTTTGTCAGGAATGTGGTATCTGCAAAGCTAGTCAAAGTTAGCTAGTCAATAAGGTGGTCCTCTGTAGCTCAGCTGGTAGAGCACTGCGCTTGTAACGTCAAGGTAGTGGGTTCAATCCCTGGGACCACCCATACACAAAAATGTATGCATGCATGACTGTAAGTTGCTTTGGATAAAAGTGTCTGCTAAACGGTATGTTATTATTATAATAAAGCAACTCTAGCCCAGACGTTAGAGTTGCTTTGCAGCTTCTGGTTTGATTTCCAAAATAAAAGTCTATTGCTTGTTTTAGAACGGCATTCGATAACGACGTTATACCACTAGGCTTGGGCATAGTATAGGCTTGGATCTTCAGCAAATGACACAGAAGAGCCTTGTCTAGAATAACTGCCTGAGCTGCAAAATAGAAAGTAAATATGATTTTTGCTAGGCCTATTCCACTATATAAATATGCCATGCTGTTGTGTTATTTAATGGCCATATCATTGCATAATTTATTTTTTATAGCCGCGTGGGGCTACATTTTGACTGTTGTATTTGCAAGGTATACTCTGTATGTAGGCTTGTTATAGCCATTTGCGTTGCACAACCCCATCACGCAGAGGCTATATCCATATTAATAAATGAGACAAAACAAAATATTGATTAAGTCTTGGCTATAACCTGTCCTGAGCGAAATAGCCAAGGGGTCCCAAATGGTCAAGACTATCTATAGCCTATTCTTATTGCCAGATCTGTTTTCCCCATCAGCCACTGCACATGCTTCTTCAACAATGTAGTTTAAAATGTATTTAGAGGCTATATTTCGAGGCCTGTGAGCCAGTGTCTCTTTTTTATAATAAAAACTGTTATAAAACACAAAATGATTCCGCAAGACACCAGTACCCAAAATTATAGCCTAAATTGCAATGCCTACAAGTTGAAGGCCTATTTTTTTTTTTTGGGATAGGCCTAAATTAAACATTGAATTATTAAAGTGATAGACTAAAGAACTTTGGAGAATTTCGAAAAATATTTTGAGTGGCAAAGGCTCCAGTGGTCATACATCATTCATAGATTGACCAAACATCTATTATTATTCTATGGTTCATTATTACTGGTAGATACTACTGGTTATGATTGCAGACAGAGCCCAGAGAATGGGATGGTGCAATATTGAATTAGTCATATTTTGATAAGGTGCATGCATGGGGATGTCAACGTCACCCAGAGATATGCCCATGCTGTAGAGTTACACCTAGCGGACTGAAACATCACTGTTGTAGGCACTGGACTTGCGCTGGCAAACAAATCCATTACATTAGCGACCTAAATGTGAAGTAAACTCAACTGAGGAGTATTAGAGAATGGAGACTTTTAACTTGAAAACGTGCAGGATACGTTTTTTCCGGTTTCCTTGACTTCTGTTTTTTTTATACTGTGTTTTATGCTTGTTCCTGTAGCACTCCTCGCAGGCCGTTTGGTGTACATTTTGTTGTTGGCGAGATGACACTGCCAAAACTCTGAAAGGTATTATTGTACATCAGAATTGCAACACAAGATTTGTTCAAGCCTAAAATGTTAGTCAGTAATCGTCACATTGTTTCATGTTTCACGCATGGCTTTTCTTACGATCCTAACAATTTACATAATGATTTTCTTACGATCCTACCGATACGTACATTCAACCCTTTGGCAGCTATCTGGCTCCATAGTGGAGAGCTGCAACGGCTGGGTCTCTCCAACAGCACCATGGGGAGGCTTGCTGGGCATGGACGATACATATTTTGCGCCCCTGCCTTTCGCAAAGTGAGCGCTGTTTACCATGGGGCGGCATCAGGGCTCAGCTTAATAGCTCATATGCAACTGGGTGAGAGAAGTGTTCATTGTTTTTGGGGCAGAATTAAGTGAGGTGTTGTTGGAGGTGCGTCTTGGTCAGTTTAGCTCGGAGAATGCCGTTCTCGTTAATCTGCCGCTCTAGACGGCCGCCATCCTGCTAATGGGCGGGCCGGCCCTGAGCTCCTCCCCCAATCAGTCTACACCACTCACTGAGGTATAATGACGCCACTGCGCACACACCCGTGGTTACTATGACAACTAGTATAGCCATGTCAGTAAATGACTGCTGTCTGAACACACAAATTAAATTTGGCCACTTTTAACTTGCTGTTTGGACAGTCAGTATTCCAAAACAGATTTGAAAAAAAACTGATTTGAGCATTAAGGCCTGCAGTGTGAACAATGCTTTATTGCAACTTGCAAGTGCATCTCTGCACATAATTGTATAATCATCAGTAGGCTACTTAGATACATTCTTGTAGTATAATGAAATACTATAAATACAATATTTTGCACTATAGTCCTGTTTTCTATCAGTAATTCTCATAAATTACACAATGTGTTCACAGGAAGAAAATAGAGATAGAGAAATAAGATTAGGAAAATAAAACATTCCTACAAACCCTGTAGGATTTCTTTCTGGAAGTGAATTATTTTGGGCTTATTGCAAATGATAATAGACAGCAGATATTGCACAATAATGTTAATCCTTTGATCCACACAGAAACCTTCCTAATCCCACTGTGTTAATGAAAGCCGTCTTCTGGGATTTCTTTGCTAAACATTCTGAAATATTTACCTATATTGGGAATAAAATATGAATATTTAATCCATTAGTGTTAGTGGAAGGTTATTAATCAACATCAATGTCAAGTATGAGTACACTTCAGTATGTATGATTAATATGGTCAATAAATACAGTATAAAATATATTCATGGACCTCAACACCACATCAATACATCTATTACGTCTTGATCCCCCCCATGTAAAACTTGTGATGTTTTGTTTGTACACTACCTTTATGAGTGTACGTTTGACAAACATTCATGTATTTCCTGTTTTTGAGAAACAAAACCATTAATGTCATTCTAAGTGAGAAAGGGGTAATATATATTGCGAAGCACCCTGTTTTAAATTTGAGTGAATGATCAAGCAAGTTAGTGGGTCACTATGTCATGTGTTAAGTAATATTAAGCTATAAGAGCCTACCTCTTGGACTAAAAACACATGTTCAATGGAGAATCCTCATTGAAAGCATTGAAAGTGCTTTTTATTCCAATAGGAATCAGGGAAACTGGTCCATGAAGTTACAATATTGTATGGCATTAGTGGGGTACCAAAATAATATTTAAAAAATGTCACGTGGTAAGCAAACATTCTATTGTGCCCATAAATCCAGACAATGTTTAAATAAAAAATAAATTATGAATTATGTATTACAAATCACCTCTCTCTTGCACAAGTACAGTTGTTGTACAGTGCCAAACAGTGGCATGTAGAGAATTTAAATGAAAAGTATAACTCCTGTGCAAAAGTAGAGCAAATTCTCTTAAGAGTCTGGCTTGTTTGGATAACCCACTCGATCCTCAGCTTATCTTTCTGAAAAGAGAAACGTTGAACAACACATTATTATAATAATGAGCTGATTTGTATTGATTCAATGTGACAAACTGGTAACTGACAACATATAAAGTAGACGTCCCCTAACCTAAAGGTGCACATATTCTGCACAAGGTTAGGACACCTATGGCATAGATAGAACACTGACGTCAACAGTTGACGATATAAGCACATTTACAACTGAGGCATATACAGAGATATTTTCTATATATTTATACATGGCTCTGATTCACAGGGCACTGATGACATACAGTATAGAACACACAGTACACTCACTTCCTCTTTCGTAGCAGGTAAATCTGAACCAGCCAATGAGAAATCAAAGGCCAGACAGTAGTAAACGCCACAGTGGTAGGAGACAGGTGAAAAGGCCACCACGAAGGACTCTGGAAAACCAAAAAGACAACTTCTCATTTCTCTCATCTGCTGCTGACATTAAAGAGTATACAAAATAAATGTTAAACCTCTCTTCTTACATGTGTAGACGTTTTAAGATATTCAATGGGGAAAAAACTGTATGATTCTGGCATTGTGAATACAGTATGATTCTGACATTGTGAATGCAGTATGATTCCTGGCATTGTGAATCCTGTTTTTTTTTTTTTTTACGATTATTTAATAGTTAGACAGAAGATTCAAAACCTTCTTCCTTATGCTTTATTTTTGGACAGTTTTTTTTGCCATTTATGAATGTGTTATTCAATGCGTTTCTATGGGCTATAGTAGTAAAGGCCAAATTCAATATTTTATTAAATACTTTTTTTATACACTACCGGTCCAAAGTTTTAGAACACCTACTCATTCAAGGGGTTTTCTTAATTTTTTACTATTTTCTACATTGTAGAATAATAGTGAATAGACAAAACTATGAAATAACACATATGGAATCATGTAGTAACCAAAAAAGTGTTAAAACAAATCAAAATATATATTTATATTTGAGATTCTTCAAATAGCCACCCTTTGCTTTGATGACAGCTTTGCACACTCTTGGCATTCTCTCAATCAGCTTCTTGAGGTAGTCACCTGGAATGCATTACAATTAACAGGTGTGCCTTCTTAAAAGTTAATTTGTGGAATTTCTTTCCTTCTTAATGCGTTAGAGCCAATCAGTTGTGTTGTGACAAGGTAGGGGGGTATACAGAAGATAGCCGTATTTGGTAAAAGACCAAGTCCATATTATGGCAAGAACAGCGCAAATAAGTAAAGAGAAACAACAGTCCATCATTACTTTAAGACATGAAGGTCAGTCAATACGGAACATTTCAAGAACTTTGAACGTTTCTTAAAGCGCAGTCGCAAAAACCATCAAGCACTATGATGAAACTGGCTCTCATGAGGACCGCCACAGGAATAGAAGACCCAGAGTTACATCTGCTGCAGAGGATAAGTTCATTAGAGTTACCAGCCTCAGAAATTGCAGCCCAAATAAATGCTTCACAGAGTTCAAGTAACAGACACATCTCAACATCAACTGTTCAGAGGAGACTACGTGAATCAGGCCTTCATGGTCAAATTGCTGCAAGGAAACCACTACTAAAGGACACCAATAAGAAGAAGAGACTTGCTTGGGCCAAGAAACACGAACAATGGACATTAGACCGGTGGAAATTTGTCCTTTGGTCTGGAGTCCAAATTGGAGATTTTTGGTTCCAACCGCCGTGTCTTTGTGAGACACGGTGTGGGTGAACGGATGATCTCTGAATGTGTATTTCCAACCATAAAGCATGGAGGAGGAGGTGTTATGGTGTGGGGGTGCTTTGCTGGTGACACTGTCTGTGATTTATTTAGAATTCAAGGCACACTTAACCAGCATGGCTACCACAGCATTCTGCAGCGATATGCCATTCCATCTGGTTTGGGCTTAGTGGGACTATCATTTGTTTTTCAACAGGACAATGACCCAACACACCTCCAGGCTGTGTAAGGGCTATTTTACCAAGAAGGAGAGTGATGGAGTGCTGCATCAGATGACCTGGCCTCCACAATCCCCCGACCTCAACCAAATTGAGATGGTTTGGGATGAGTCGGACCGCAGAGTGAAGGAAAAGCAGCCAACAAGTGTTCAGCATATGTGGGAACTCCGTCAAGACTGTTGGAAAAGCATTCCAGGTGAAACTGGTTGAGAGAATAACAAGAGTGTGCAAAGCTGTCATCAAGGCAAAGGGTGGCTATTTGAAGAATCTCAAATCTCAATTATTTTTTGATTTGTTTAACACTTTTTTGGTTACTACATGATTCCATATGTGTTATTTCATAGTTTTGATGTCTTCACTATTATTCTACAATGTAGAAAATGGTAAAAATAAAGAAAAACCCTTGAATGAGTAGGTGTTCTAAAACTTTTGACCGGTAGTGTATATATTCTTTATACCTAAAGGGGTCGTAAAATGAAATAGCTAAATTATTCATGGTATGACAATCTTAAAACAATTCCATATGTCAGCTTAGACTTTTAAGAATTAATACAGTGAACAAAAATATAAACGCAACATGTAAAGTGATGGTCCCATGTTTCATGAGCTGAAATGAAAGATCCCAGAAATGTTCCATACACACAAAAAGCTTATTTCTCTCAAATTTTGTCCACAAATTTGTTTACATTCCTGTTAGTGAGCATTTCTCCTTTGCCAAGATAATCCATCCACCTGACAGGTGTGGCATATAGAGAAGCTGATTAAACAGCATGGTCATTACCCGTGTGGGCCCTGTGTAGCGCAGTTGGTAGAGCATGGCGCTTGCAACGCCAGGGTTGTGGGTTCGATTCCCACGGGGGGCCAGTATGAAAAAATAAATTTAAAAAATGCTCTGGATAAGAGCATCTGCTAAAATGTGCAGTTTTGTCACCCAACACAATGCCATAGATGTCTCATATTTTTGGGGACCGTGCAATTGGCATGCTGACGGCAGGAATGTCCAACAGAGCTGTTGCCAGACAATTGAATGTTAATTTCTCTACCATAAGCTGCCTCCAACGTTGTTTTAGAGAATTTGGCAGTACGTCCAACAGGCCTCACAACCGCAGACCACGTGTTTTGCGTCGTGTGGGCAAGCGGTTTGCTGATGTCATTGTTGTGAACAGAGTGCCCCATGGTGGCAGTGGGGTTATGGTATGGGCAGGCATAAGCTACGGAAAACGAACACAATTGCATTTTATCGATGCCAATTTGAATGTACAGAGATACCGTGACGAGATCCTGAAGTCCATTTTGAGGCCCATTTTTTTTTAAAGGTATCTGTGACCAACAGATGGATATCTGTATTTTATTGTATATTAAAACATACAATCTACCTGCAGTGAAGCCGCTCAACATTTACATCACATTCAGTCATCTAGCAGACATTCCCATCCAGAGCGACCCACAGGAGCAACCAGGGTCAAGCAACCCGCCCAAGGGCACATCGACAGATCTCCCACCAAGTCAAATCGGGGACCCGAACCAGGGACCTATCGGCCACCGGCCCAAGCTCCCAACCACCAGGCCACCAACCAATAGTCATGTGATGAAAAAGTGAAAAACTAATTCTGATTGGCTGGGCCTGGCTCCACAGTGGGTGGGCCTATGCCCTCCCAGGCCCACCCATGGCTGCGCCCCTGCCCAGTCATGTGAAATCCATAGATTAGGGCCTAATGAATTTATTTCAATTGACTGATTTCCTTATATGAACTGTACCTCAGTAAAATCGTTTAAATTGTTGCATGTTGCATTTATATTTTTGTTCAGTATAGTTAGATAGAGGCACATACCTTTCTTGCTAGGGATAAGGAGTCATCTTGTCTAGCCTGAGAAAGCGATCTAGTCTGAAAATGAACAGACACAAAATGTAGACTTGTGATTCAGATCGAATTTTTGACTGTACTGTGATACAGTTTTATCTTTGAAAAAATATCATAAAAAAAGTACTGTTTTATCTCTCTGGTTTTCAGACCGTGGTCTCACCTGTAATGTGGTCAGGGCCTCCAGAGTGTTCAGCCTCTGAAGCACGTTAGCCATGTCCTCCTGCAGCCTGGTCAGCGCCATGGCGATGTGCTCATTAAGGTTACCGCTGGCAACAGCCTCAGTCCTGTTCTGCATAACCCAGCCCTCTGCTGCATTTCCATTGGTAAAAAGCTGTGACCCGGAACCTCGCCCCGATGACCTGGAACCTATACCACAAACAATGGGCAGTGAGCAAGCATTACTCTATGGACTTCGAGGCCTGTAGTCACAAGACATCACCACGTCTCAGAGTAGAAGTGCTGATCTAGGATCAGTATGGCCTTTTAGATTATAATGAATGGACTGGGTGGATCCTAGCACTACCACTCTGAGACGCTTTATGAATAAAAGCCCAGAAGCACAGGAAAAAGGTTTCAAGTCAATCAAGGGATCAAATGCCACCGATTATACTTTTATCATGATTTCTTTTAAACAGTAAGACCATACAGACCCACCTATTCCACTCATTGACCAGCAACTGTCCCGTCGTTCTGTATGAAGCCCCTCCCTGTGAGGGGCGTCTTCCTGGAGACTCAGGTCCTCATCCAGGGTCTCTCCCTGAAGACTCCTCCTCTTAACTTGACTTGCCCTTGTCTCGGAGGAGTGTGCCCTCGGTACTCCCGATTCCTGTGAAGACAACCAATCAAAATCATGGGAGCGCTCCTTTTGCATTGTCATAACCCAAAACGAACCAACCCAATGAATAGATGGGCGGGAGCGAGTTCTAATTTGCTGGAGCAAGCACATAACGTTTCTTAACGCCTTACCTCGTCCATGGCTAAATGTTCCATTGAGTCACAGAATTCCTCGTTGTCCGAGTCGTTGGCTCGAAGACGCTCTGTGCGGAGGGGACGAAGCACACCACATCATTGCCAGATTATTGACCAAAATGTTTTATCAGGGGGTACTGCAGCCCCCTCAGCACCACTACTTCCCACGGCTATGGTAGGTCATAGGTCAGGTAATCCAAACTCCAGCTGACTCCATCTTACCGCTGAGACATCTGTTAATATGCCTGTACCGTCTCTCAGAACTGGGGCTCTTAAATACCTACAGAAAGGGTCCTACTAAACCAGCTACTGGAGGTGTTTATGGTGGCGGGTCTGAGGTGTCCGTTCATATGCCGGTTCAGTCTAGCGCTGTTACGGTGACCGTATTACCGCCACACCAGCGGTCATGGTAACTAGGCTTACCCAAAACTGCTTACCCAAAACTGCTTACCCAAAACTGCTTACCCAAAACTGCTTACCCAAAACTGCGCTCTGATGCCGCTGATGGTTATTAGTAGCCTGCCAAACTTGCTAAGGGCCAGTCACTAATGGCCTGGCACTCTGCGCTCTATTGTCCCTCTAATCACTCTGACATCAATGCAAATGCAACTGAAAATCAAACACTTTATGAGAGCCCATGACCTCATGTTGCAACAATTATATAGGCTATGCAATCGCGTGTGAAAACAGAATTTTGAAAGGCCACTATTTAAGAAAAGAGGATCCCAGCTTTCTCGTGCTGCTATATTTATCGCTAAATTCTTAACATTAAGCACATTAATCTGCTTTACAACTGGTGTAGCCTACCTGGAATACATAGGCGGAAAGCACGTTTAAAGTATGGGGAAGCTCATTTTCACCATAAAAATGCACCTTTATAGTAAAAGCACTCCATGCGTCATCACATTTGCAGACTTATGTAAGAAAGACTACTATTCGTAATGTGATGAGTTGATTGGATAGTCATAATTTAGGCTAATAATATAACTCAATCACTGTTCGCAAAAAAGAGTTGAATGCATGGCTGAGTGTGTATAGAGTAGACCTAGGCTATATCAGATACGTTTCTTCTTTCTTTGCATGGGAAAAATGTGGTCTAAACACATTTCATGCAATTCTACTACACTTTATATTCCTGGAGACATTAGCAGAATATTTTTTTATACGACAAATTACAGGGCAGCCTACTCTGCATGTGCGCACTCAGAAATAGTTTGGGGAAATGTATTTTATTTATCATTCAGCTATGTTCAATTGTATTCTTCATACTATAAAATAATATAAAAATAATGCCACGGAATTCTAAGCAAATCTTGTCTGCTAAATTAACTAGTGTAGCTCACAGCCATATGGCATAGCCAGATCAGTTCTTCTGAAATAGGCTACATTTTCTTCATATCATGTTTCTTTAAACCTGTCTAAATTAAATAATACATTTTTGGTGATGTGTAGGCTATATTAAATGTATTTATTAGACTTTTTTAAATGTAGATGTTCCAAAGGTCTGCATCAGTGGCTTGTAGGCTATGTGTGGAAGCCATGAGATGCTAAATGTGTTTATGTTAATTAACGGTCAATTACCGTGAGACCGGCAGTTATTTGCATGACAATTACCGGCTGACAAAATGTCATGACTGCCACATCCCTCCTTCTGTCTATCTTACAGGTGCTCTCAAATACAGTACCTACTGTTGGGTCCTACTAACCCAGCTACTGGAGGTGTTTATGGTGGCGGTCCTTACCACTGAGGTGTCTGTTCAGATGCCTGTAGCGGTTCTCCGGTAGGGGCTCTTCTGAGTAGGCCAGTTCCTCCTCCTCCACCTCACTGTCGAGGGAGCTGTGTGTCCCGTTGGTCATGGAGGAGACGCTGGGCTCCACAGTGCCGTTGGACGAGCTGACCTCTGACCTCCACCTGCGGTCCTTCACCCTGAGCAGACTCATGTCAGGGCCTGGGGCCTTCCTCTCTAACGGACAGTATGACATAAGCTCTGTTTCAATATCCACACTAGCATACTACTTAAAATGAAGCAATCAATTAGTGGCATGTTAGTAAGGATATTATAGTTATAAACCTGACATGACACAGCATTGACATAACAATGGTCCTCCCAGTCCTATGTTTCATAGTGATATAGAGCAGTTATGGTATGAATTGTGACAAACTGATATAACCACGGTCCAGGGACGTTTTATCTCTGAAATAAAAGTAATGAAGTCTCTTTTGTGGTAACATACAAAACCATGTAAAATTCAGTCCTCAGCTTTCGCTTGAACTGCTTTATAGCTACCCATAGTTATAGCACTGTCATAAGTATAACCATGTTTGGCTTGCTAATACGTTATGCTACATAGTATTCATAATTAAATTGTCGTATAGAGAAACAGCTCAAAATTGGATATGTACTATTCGTGGTACCTCTCTCCTCCTCCTCTTCATCATCTGCATCTTCTTCCTCATCACTGTCCACTTTCTCCACCTCCTTCTCCTCCTCCTCATCACTGTCCACTTTCTCCTCCTCATCCTCATCTTCCTCCTCCTCCTCCTCCTCCTCCTCTTCCTCCTCCTCCAAATCAGTGCATTTACTTTCCTCCTTGCATTCCTCCTTGCCAGTCATATTCATGCCATTTATTTTGCTTTCTGGGACTTTGGTTTGAATATCCTTCCAGATTTCCAGACTCCCAAAGCCTGAGCAGTGCAATAAAACGTATAAGACACCTTATTATAAACTCGTTATAATTATAATGAGCTACACTAGATAACACCAACTGCATCTACATTGCCACAACATTTAGCAGTCTATGCCACGATTCACAAAGCAGCACAACTACACAGCTAACACAAATAGGCTGCTATTCATTAGCAACAGACTTTTCTACTATTGAGACAATACCAGACACTTTCAAAGATAAAACAATCAATCAATCAACCACGCCACAAAACACAACAGAAGAGCTTCTCTACTCATCCAGCCGTCAAACATATTTGCACATATTTCCTTAAAGGGACAGTTCACCAAAATGTCAAATTGAAGTAAACGTATGGATACCTTTAGGTTTGCTGTTTAGCGCAGGCTAACAGGAGTCCTGCTTGCACCATGCAATCAATGACGCTAATGCTAAACTATAGCTACTGTAAGTAGACAAACTCATATCCTATATCACCAATTCTTGGGTCCATAGACTACTTTCTAGTTTTTACATAATATGAGGTAAATGGATAACTATCCCTTTAATTGTCGCCATAGACAACAGTCCACTCATCAATCTCTCTTCCTTCATCAGAACTGGTTGCTGATTACAAGGTGAGGATGACTGACATGAGTTCACTGTGGACCCTTGGCGAATGGAGTTCAGCGTCTAGGACCAACGCTACCACACAAACACTTGCCTTCCATCTTTGGTTTGTGGATATACCCCTTTAGCATCTGCATTTCCACTGAGCAAAAAGACAAAAAGGCGACTATGAAATATTCATCCAAAGGCCTTCTCTGCTAATAGCAAGGAAAGGTTAACATCTTCCTCAGAGCTAAACCCTCCATTATTTGAGGTGAAACAATCTCCTTCTGTGTGAATTTATGGACTCTTTAGTGACTATTTATAGACTATGAGAGTGGTTAATTAATAATCAATAAACACATAAATCATTGAACACTTGTACTCCTAGATGTGTTGGGGGGTATTGTGTTGTTGTGTTCAGTGAAACTGAGGTGTGTAGTTCTGCAGTGCTCAAAACAGCATCCATTTTGACCAGGCACCTGCAGCTGCTGCGAAAGGCCTGTTGTAGGTCCTCTTGGCCTCCTCTTCCTCTTCCTCCACTCCTCCCTCCACTTCCTCGAAGAAATACCCCCCAAGAGCCTCCAGCAGATCAGACACCTCCTCTGTGACTGGAAGAGTCTCCAGAATCTTCCAGAAAGAGGCAATTTGATTGTTAATATATTGGTGTTTCAATAAAGAATAAATGTGGTTTCAGCAATTTAATGAAACAGAAATTAATCTGCCTGGAGGGTAAAACAATAATACGTGATTGCAGTTGCTTCCTCTTCTTTTATTTATTCAAAATGACATAGTAAAAATGCTTACCAGCTGAATGTCATTGAGGTAAGCTTGCATGGCTTCCTCCTTTGACATATTCCCCAGTGAGTTCCATGCGTCCCTGGCAACAAACAATGTTTGGGTCTCATATGAACTCGGGTGACAAAAGAAATGCTGCATAAACCTCAATGATTTTGAGACAGACTAACAACATACTTTTTTCAGAGTTGGGATTTCATTATGAATCCATGGATCCATGCAAGATATGCAGTACATAGGGCCTTGAGTTTTTCTTGAACACATGACATAACCAGGAAGAGCTCTGGGAACTAGTGTAAACACAGTATCAGATATTTGAAATTAAATCTCTCAGAATTTGGTCTGATCATACAGCACAAATAATGAACATAGGTTTTAATAGTTGCTATGAATTTTTGTGGCTAATAAATGTGTTATTCTGCAGCAATAAGATGGTAGTATGGTATATTACACATTTTACCATGGGTAGATTGATTGCATGACAAATATTCCTTGCAATATAATATAACTATGGTTATTGTGCTTTGTGGCTTACGTAATATCCCAGTTCAAATGATTCAGTAATATTCCTTTATCACGAAAACTTTCACCTTGAGGCAAAAACACCAACCCATTTTTAGACTTTTCATTTTGTCTTTGCCTCGCTGTGCCATTCTTCTGCCGTCTTATCAACATTTCAAAGGGTTGCTTCCCTGAGCAGCGCTTTCAGAAGTGCTCATGCTGTATGCTGGTATATCTCGTATGTGTCTGAGTAGGTCGTCAACGTTTGCGTTTTACTGAAGGCATGCAGTATTTTTCTTTTTCTAACATATGGTAAATTGTCTTTCATCTGATTTGATAACCTATTGCTAGGACAACACCCTTCACCAGGGTCGTGTTCAGTAGGCACAAAATGGAAGAAAGTGATCCAAAATGGAGTGAAGCGGGGAGGTTCTATACCTATCTGGACACGTCCAATAAGAAACACTCATTTTCGTTTTTCTATTGCAAAATGTTTTGCTATAGTGTGCGCTAATGAACACGACCCAGTCCTTAAACATAATTTACCACTTGGCTTTGCCTGCAGTGTCCCAGTATCCTGTAGGTCTTGGAATGTTACAAGGCCCTAACATAGCCTGCTTGTAGTAACTATAAAACATGAGCATCATGCCATCCGCCGGCTGGTATGGACCTATAGGAGAGCAAATAAGGATAGGAGGGGGAACAAAGAGGATGAGTCAGGAAGTTTGATGATTGACATGATACTTTGAATTATTGTTACATTGCAGCCGATGGTCCCTCAACTTGCAGCAATTACCATGAGCTCACTGCAACTGACAAAACAAATGTGTGTCCTCAGAAGGTATAAATAGACTTCTCTTTTAAATGTAATGCTTTAATGTTTGAAGCTGCCCATCTTCAGCTCTAAAGACACAACCTGTCATTTCAACAGCCTATCAGTTACCCTGCCTACAGCGCTACGCAAGGACTGACAGTCCATGAGATTGGCATGATATTGGCTGTTTGTTTACAAAGACTCAGTCATACGACAACAAAAACATAAACAATGGATGAGTAGCCTAATGCAACTGTATCGAACAGTAAAACAGTTTAAACTGATAAGGCAGTTATATTCTTTAAGAACAGCAGAACTTCTTACAGTGTGCCTTCTGAGCCAACCTAAAGCTAAATCTAAGACACAGAGAATATAAGCCAATCACCACTACCAAACAGGTACCAAATTAAAACGGTGGCAACAGTGTGAGCCCTAATGGTGCTTATTCAGACATATGCTGCACAAGCTAGGCTTACTGCTAAATAGGCTACTCAGTCGCAGGCCATGGCCCACAGTTCAGTGGCTGATTTGATGTATAGGCAAGTGTAGTTATTAGTGGATAATCAGCCTACCATCTTCGGGTAAACTCCGTATCACTCGCACTGCGGCATTAAATCGGGTCTCGAGCTCGTCTTCTTCGGCGTGCTCCATCGCTTTGTCACAACCACGATGACAGGCGGTGAATCCTCACGTCTTAAAGAGATTTAACATTCGGTCACCTCTGTGACAACAAAGTTGCTTGGCAGCAATAATGTCAAATGAAAATTATTCTCAACAGGCTTTCATAATGTGTCATTGAAATCAACCGGCCTGTTAATACCCTCGCACCTCGTAAAGATGACCGTATTATGGATACTATAGCATGCATAATAGTCTTGTTGTTTTATTTTCGCCTGAGGCAATTATTAAGCTATTTAGTTGTTGCATAAACATTCTCAACATTAAATATCCATATGTTCAAATTAGAGTGAATTTAAAAAAAAAAGGAAGAAACAAATATATAGAAGGTTACGTTTAAGAAACTCACCCTATGCATGTCTGGGTGGATTAAACCCACTGCTGTCTACATATAGCCTGCTGGCTGCAACCAGGCTGACTATTCCGATACCGACCTCTCAAATTCGGTCCAACCGAACACGACAAAACATATGATTCCCAAAGTTGCCATGGGAGTTGTAGTGTCTTTTGACCACGAATTACACAATGCACCAATTGGTTTCCTTTAGGATTCCTACAAGGCCCATCATTCTCTTAATGTGGGATTTAATATGTGAGATATAGTGCTGACTAGGACAACAACAGTTTGCCTACCTTTTTAAAAAGCATATATATTAGATACACACGCGCGACGACAAACTGTTAAAATGTAGCATATAGATTGCAACAACAGCTGCGCGCCATCAATGGAACACTGGCTACTTTGTGTCACTAGACCCGATTGTAGTTCACCTTTCATCACCAATGGGTTCACAAACCATAATCGCACTCAAATTCAATTGATCCAGGACTAATCGATGTAGTACCTGAACCAATCACAGTTGACAGTGAGTCCAAAGCGCGGTAAAATGTAACAGTGATCAAATCGAGGCCAGAAATCTCACAATACCAGGCGGGGGAGCCCCTTTCTCGCCACACCAAAAGCATAATCGCTTTGCCTCATTGAAAGGAAAGGGAAGAGAGAAATGCAGAGGGATGTAAGATGGCAGAGCTACAAATGTTGTTAGAGGAAGAAATTCCGGCCGGTAAACGAGCGCTTGTGGAAAGCTACCAAAATCTATCGAGGGTTGCAGAATACTGTGAAAACAATTATGTACAGGTAAGGAAAATAAATCAATGATAAAATGTTGAATTATATGCGGAATTCGTCGGATTTGTTCAAGAACTGGGTGAAACCGGGGACAGGAAACGTTGCTCTCAGACCCCAGACCGCTAACGTTAGACAGATATCTAAATTACGAAACAGGCTTTTAGCAATGTAAAAAAGAAAAGAAAAAAGGCGACCTAATCATTCTATGCTTTAAACTGTGGTTACCATCTCGAGCTCTATTCTCGTATAACAGCCCTGTTCGGGTGGTTGGCCACGCTTACGACCATTCTTTACCAGCCATTTGATGTCAATTTACAAAGCTATTGGAGACTATTCAGAGGGTGTGTCGTTGTTATGACCTAGGCTTGTCAATGACTGCATTCTCTTTATAGGTAGGCTATCGAATAGGCCAAATGGGTTTTAATCGTTTCATCATTATACAACCTGGACTCAGGGGTAGACGTAACATAGTACATGTAAATCCGGGACCCTACCCTATCAAGTACTTGGTTACGTTTTGTTTGGTATGTATTAATTTGTGGATGTCCATCATCCATTTCGTAAAGTATGCTACAAATTACAATTTGTATGATATCTTACGAATTACAATTCGTACGAAATGTTACGAATTGCAATTCGTACAATATGTTACGAATAGCAATTCGTACAATATGTTACGAATTGCAATTGTACAAGATTTTACGAATTTGCGAAAATGTATGATATGTTATGAATTCCAATTTGTTGTGGCTAAAGTTAGCTAGGTGGGTAACGCTAACGTTTGCTAGGTGGCTAACGTTAGCTAGGCTAGGGGTTAAGGTTAGGTTTAGGAGATAGGTTAAGTTTAGGGTTAGGGTAAGGCTTAGCTAACATGCTAAATAGTTGCAAAGTAGCTAAAAAGCGGTAAGTATTTACAAAGTTGCTAATTAGCGAAAATGCTAGAGTTTTCCGTGATGAGATTTGAAACACGCAACCTTCGGGTTGCTAGACGTTAGCGTTATCACTGTCTCTCAGATTGACATTGTGGAAATGGATTGCAAATGGCATGAAGCACATTTCAGACTCAAACGTGAATTGCACATTTGATTTGTGCTCAATGAGTGTGCCTGAGAATGTAATATGACTTTACTCCATCTACTTTTTGTTGTGTTCCTCTCCTCCAGACAAATGGATTACATTGTAATAATCTGGATTATTGTCTGTGTATTGGATTAAGAACATGCCACCATCGTTTACACACACCTGGCCTAACCTTTTACTGTCAGCTGGCCCAGAAATGTGAAATCAAAAAACACTAAATGACTCTCACAGAACAGCTGGAGATGGAAGGAGCAACCAATGGGGCCACCGGTTAAATCATATTGTAGAATCCAGATGAACCCAGCGGTTCAGTTGGATAGCTCATCAGTGATGTCATTGGGGAACACTACAGGTCATGAGGCTTGCTATAACACCTTTATAACCAAATCAAAAAAAGGACACAGTACCCATCAAAAGCCTAATCCGTAACGACAGGCAAACTACTTAATTTAAACATCTAGTTTTACGTAATCCCGCTTCAAGTCAAACGTGTAGGCCTCTATCTAATAATCTCTAATTTCTCATAGTAAATGTCCAAGAGATCAATGGAACACATTTTAGCTATTAAGGAAGGAAACACACAATCAACTGTATTTGTCACAGCTTAGGCCCCACCCTAAATCCCCCTTCGCATGATATCCTACTGACTCATAGATGAATCATGAGTGTATTAAGGCCGTGCCGTCCGCAAGTATTTTTTGATATTAAGTAGCAGCAGGCCTGTCTAACTAGTAGAATCAGTAGATAGGGTGCCTAGTTCTAAAGTACCACGTTAGTGTAATGTGGATCTCCCATCATAAGGTAGGCTACCAAATACCAAGATAAAAGACTGCTTAGTCTTGGTAAAGATTATAGGGGTTGGAGATTAGGGGAGTTGGTGTCATGTGTGTTTTCCATCATAATGTACCACCTACCATGATGAAAGATGGTTAGGTTTGGTAAAGATATAGGGGTTGGAGATTAGGGGAGTTGTAGCAGGTTAGTATCATGTGTGTTTTCCATCATAAGGAAGGTAAGGGGTTTGGTAAAGGGGTGATTTTGACTACATGGGGCAGGGGAGAGCAAAAACATATTCAGTTGGAGACTGAAAGAGAGAGACAGAGAGATAGATGGAGAGAGAGAGAGACTGAGAGAGAGAACGTGGTTCAGCTTCTGAGGACTAATCAAGTGTATGACTCTGAATGGAGAGCATTATTACCGTGAGTTCCTTCCAGGTGATATTTTTAGACTATTGCAATTAGCTTGATTCTGTGGGAAGTGTCTCACTCTGTTGTCCACCCTAGGAGAATCTCAAACCCCATTGAAGGAGGTCAGAGGGGAGGGACCTCAGGCTTTCTCATCCAATGGGTTTTGAGAATGAGGCGCGAGGATGCGAGGAGTATACAATTGAGATTCTCCCCATGTCGTCCTCCTCCTCTATTCCTGTTCACTCTCGTCAGGGGAATGTGTGTGAGTCATAGCTTTAATAGGCTATATGGTTTGATCTAGACTGAGTGGACAAAACATTAAGAACATCTCCTCTTTCCATGACCTGGACTGACCAGGTGAATCCAGGTGAAATCTAGGATCCCTTATTGATGTCCCTTGTTAAATCCACTTCCATCAGTGTAGATGAACAGGAGGAGACAGGTTAAAGAAGGATTTTTAAGCCTTGAGACAATTGAGGCATGGATTGTGTATGTGTGCCATTCAGAGGGTGAATGGGCAAGACAAAATATTTAAGTGCCTTTGAACAGGGTATGGTAGTAGGTGCCAGGTGCACCGGTTTGTGTCAGGAACTGCAACGCTGCTGGGTTTTTTCATGCTCAACAGTTTCCCGTGTGTATCAAGAATTGTCCACCACCCAAAGGACATCCAGCCAACTTGGCACAACTTTGGGAAGCATTGGAGTCAACATGGGCCCAGCATCCCTGTGGAAAGCTTTCGAAACCTTGTAGAGTCCATGCCACAAAGAATTGAGGCTGTTCTGAGGGAAAAGAGGGAGAGGGAGAGGGGGAACGGGTGCAACTCAATAATAGGAAGGTGTTCCTAATGTTTGGTATACTCAGTGTATACTTCGGGATCAGTTCTCTCAGTGGCAGTCCTCAACCAATTGCCTACTTATGTTTGAGCATGTCTTCAGTTACCCCCAGTTTCTAGGTTGTCATAATTGAAGCGTACTCTCTTAATTTTGTTTGATTGAGCCATTCATTTACATCATCATCTCATCATGTTCAGGCGACCTGTTTCGGAAGCTAACACATGTAATTAGTGGAAAATTCAGACAAGCAGTCTTGTGTTGTAATGTACCATCACGTACAGATGTAGGATCTTAAGTTGATCACTCTTTTGTTGCTGAGAATGTTCCTGCACAGCAGGAAATGGAAACTTGTAGTGTATTCAAGGTTGGAAAAAGGCTTCTAAAGTTTGTCATTTCCACTTTAGAATGTCAGACTTGATTTGCCTTAACGAAAAATGTATCAACCCCTACAAAAAAATGTCCATTAATTATAATCCACATAATAATTCACATTTCTTGTTGCTGCAGGATTATTTTTTCCTGCTGTAGCAAACTGGCTCAAATTTAAAAAGATCCTACATCTGTAGTGAACACTATCGTGAAATTACTTCAGTTGACAAACGACTTCAAACAATCGTGTCCCCTGGAGAAGATTTTATATTAGAATTACAATTAACTACAGTAGGGTTTTACCTTCTTTCCTCCGGTGACCAGCTGTTGATGTACAGGGCCTTCAGAAAGTATTCACACCCCTTGACTTATTCCACATGTTGTTGTATTACAGCCTGAATTCAGAATGGATTTAATATGTTTTTCTCTCACCCCATCTACACACAATACCCCATAATTATAAAGTTAAAACATGTTTTTAGACATTTTTGCAAATGTATTGAAAATGAAATACAGAACGATCTAATTGACATAAGTATTCACACCCATGAGTCAATACATGTTAGAATCACCGTTGGCAGCGATTACAGCTGTGAGTCTTTCTGGGTAATTCTCCAAGAGCTTTGCACCCCAGGATTGTGCAATATCTGCCCATAATTCTTCAAACTATGTCAGATTTGTTGTTGATAATTGCTAGACAACCATTTTCAAGTCTTGCCATAGATTTTCAAGCAGGTTTAAGTCAAAACTCTATCTCTGCCACTCAGGAACATTCACTGTCTTCTTTGTAAGCAACTCCAGTGTAGATTTGGCCTTGTGTTTTAGGTTATTGTCCTGCTGAAAGGTGAATTC